TCTCCTGGTCCCTGAGCCTAGCCTACTATCTCCTGGTCCCTGAGCCTAGTCTAGCCTACTATCTCCTGGTCCCTGAGCCTAGTCTAGCCTACTATCTCCTGGTCCCTGAGCCTAGTCTACTATCTCCTGATCCCTGAGCCTACTATCTCCTGGTCCCTGAGCCTATCCTAGTCTACTATCTCCTGATCCCTGAGCCTAGCCTACTATCTCCTGGTCGCTGAGCCTAGCCTAGTCTACTATCTCCTGATCCCTGAGCCTAGCCTACTATCTCCTGGTCCCTGAGCCTAGCCTAGTCTACTATCTCCTGATCCCTGAGCCTACTATCTCCTGGTCGCTGAGCCTAGCCTAGCCTAGACTACTATCTCCTGGTCGCTGAGCCAGTGAGAGGTTGCCAAGCCTACTGTGATTATTATTGTTATATCAGGGCATTATGTTCCAGTCTCATAGTCTATTAATTATAGGCATATGGTTTACTATGTGTGGGTCTATGTGAGTTGCATGTTAAATGCAAGAGTCATGGATTTACGTAGGCCTACAAGACTATTTGGTCTGTAATGCGAAATCACATGTTAGATGGTTTGTTGTGTGCAATCTATTACAGTAGGGTATACGGTAGGTTATGCTTTTATGATGATTTAATGGTGATTTGAGTGCACAAATCTGGGCCCTTTTTGCTTAGAAATCGATCTGTGGACACCATAGATCGAAATGGCTTGCATTGAGCAATAGCTCTGGTTCCCACGGACAGAGTAGTATATTTTCTGAGTCTCTGTGACATAGGATGTGAAATCTGAAACCTCTTGAAGCTGGAATGTCCCTCCTACCAGAGCATATGAGCGGAGTGGAGCGGTGAGAATCTCATCTACTCGCTCACGGAGCTGTTCACCCCTCCGCTCCCCCCGCTCAAAGCCACATCAGGCCAGTCCGCTCATTATCGCTCAGCGCTCAACGCAGTTTGCATCGCGCTCCACTCAAATGCCCCCCCCCCCCCCCCCCCGCTCGCTCCAAAAAAGGAAAACAATCTGCATGTATTTCACTTTTAGCTTAAACCACAGCCTTACCTTATCTCCCCGAGTTTGTTGCATACAGACTCATCTCGGATTATCCATTCTGTCTTGAAACGGGGATCTAACACTGATGCTAAAATGAGATGTTTATCAGTATAGTATATTCCATAGCGAATTGACACGTTGTTTGCCAATGTTTCTGCAAAAGCAGCGATGCCCATTGGAAATGCAGTGTCGTCGGTGAGCAGGGATTTGATTTCTGTGACAGCAGGGAGGATCATCCCCAGGTTCCCCAGCTCCTTCTGCATTTTGTCTGTGAGGTCTGCCAGTGGTGTCAGCACACTGACAAGGTGCGTCAGCTGCCGTACTTGATTCAGGGTGATGTTAGCAACATTAGACTTGAGTTTTGTTTTGCCATAACAGGTCTTTTTGGAACAACTGGATGAACGACTGAATCATCCGCAGCTGGCTGCTCCATCGAGTGGCGCAGGCATTTGTGGGGCGGACACTTAATTGGTCGGTTTCCTCTGTGTTCAGGGTGCTCTTGCGTACACTTTTCACCAGTTGCCCGACTTTCACTAACAGCCTATTAATGTTGTCGTGCTCGTTAACGGCGTCTTTGATCGCCAGCTGAAGCATGTGAATGGGGCATCTCAGATGTAAATTTGACACAGTAAAGTACTGATTTATCATAGTTTCTACATTAGTGGTTATCACTTCCACATGGACTTGCGAGGGCGCAGGTGGTCCCTCATCCTCCTCTTCATGTTCTGCGCTGCTGCTGGCATCCGCGGTCACTTCACCCTCCGCCTCCTCTTCAGTGGAGGCTTCACCCTCCGCCTCCCGAATCACACGTCGTTGCACGTTTAAAACCCAACAAAACCGTGTGCCCCCGGAACGTCCCATCAATGAAACTGGCCACGCTGCCAAGGAAGCTGTGCCCTCTTCTACTGGTCCAAATGTCTGCTGACAGAACGAGCTCATCACCATTTTGCAGTAGGTCTTGCAGTTTGGCTTCCATCTCTTCCAGGGCATGTGGCATGAGCGTGTCCCGTACGGTGTTGTAGCATGGGGGGGTGTAGCCCGGTTGAGCTGCGCTGGCGAAGTGTTGCATCCCTTCACGTTCTCCTTTACTCAGCGGTTCAGAGTCCATGTAAATCATTTTTAAAAATGCTACATCCAGCTCTATTTTTCTCTCCCTTGTTATGGTTGGGCCTTTGTGTGCAGTGAATAAACTTTTGAATTCCTCAACCCTTTTCTCTTGTTGCTGCTGCTCCTCCTCTCGCTCTATAAAATACAAATTCATGGACGACACAAATTAAATTAAACAGATGGATTCTGGGTCAGGCTTGAGCATGCTTCAGACTCGTGGTGTGAGCGAGCGAAATTGGAGCTGGACATAGGGCGACACTCCGTCCTTTTAAAAATGCCGCTCTGCGCTGCGCTCTATCCAAAATCCGCCCGCTCGCGCTCCACGCTCGCTCCCGCTCCACTCCGCTCACATGCTCTGCCTCCTACCATTTCATTCGCTCGTCTGACTGTCCATCAACTCCTGGCTGAACCCTACATCACAGACACTGACAAAGCACATGCCTGCAATCCATACATCGTAGTGCAGCAGGAGAGAGTGATGTCATCACTGTAGCATGTTCAGAGATGGATTTATAGCCATTCATCTAAAATAATTAATAGATTTTAAACAGAAAAACACTCATTCATATGAGATGAAAGGCGAGTTCCTAACGAGTTCAGGAAGCCAAGCTACATCTCTGTGAGAGATTCACAGCGATGGGGGCAGGCATTTTTATCAAGACATACCTTTAGAAAATATGCACATTTTCTCTAACACTATACATACAAATATGTATTTTACAGTTATAATGAAGGTGAAATCTTAGTGTTAGTAGTTTTATAATTCGATTATACTATATTTAGAAAGAATATAAGTCATTTCAAGCCCTATTCATACAATTTTGTTGAATAGGAAATACATAATATAGAATATTTTGTATTTTAATATTTGTATCATATAAACCGGAGATGTAGGTTTCCTTTTTGGAGATCTACTTCCGATTTTTCTGCCATCTTTCTTGCGCATCTTGACTTCGCATTACTCCTCGCGGTCATTATTTTTCTTCTTGTCCTCCATCCTGCTCAAATTCTCAGTTTTCGGCTCGTTTAGCAGCATTTTGCTGAAGTCCGCCCTGAGTAGATCTAGCTTGCTTCGCAGTATACCACTCAGGTGTTTATGAGAAGGACCCCACATGTATAATCATTTAAAATGATTATACATACTTGTATCTTTCTATCGTGTCCTGTGCAAAATTGAATTGGCTTGGAGCTACTCTGCATGATCTGTTTATTGAGAAACAACATTTGTGTAAGAATATCAAATAAACAAATAGGAGAGGCCCACTTGTACAGGACAAAGCACTTACTCCCAAAGTAACTCACCACTGTAAGTACATAGTCATATAAAGTCAATATGGAGAGAGAGAGAGAGAGAGAGAGAGAGAGAGAGAGAGAGAGAGAGAGAGAGAGAGAGAGAGAGAGAGAGAGAGAGAGAGAGAGAGAGAGAGAGAGAGAGAGAGAGAGAGAGAGAGAGAGAGAGAGACCTTTATAGTAAAAAATGTGAGACTCAATGGGGTGTGATGAGTGTACAATCACACATGACCTCAGGCTTCTATGCTGTGTAGAGCAGGAACTGAATGTACTGAACATACATCTAGTTTCACCACACATTATTAACCACCATCATTAGTGTGATGATAGATCAAATGAAGATAGATCAAAATGATTGATGTGAACAAAATGAACCAGTTGTCATTGCATGAGATTGAATAGACCAGGGATCTCCAAGTCCGGTCCTGGAGAGCTACTGGGGGTGCAGGCTTTCGTTCAAGCCCAGCACTACCACACCTGATTTACCTTAGCATGGTCCAGATTGAAGATCATGATTAGGTTATTCTTTAAAACAGGGGTGTTAATGCTAGGCTGAAGCAAAAGCCTGCACACCCTGGATGGGATTTGGAGACCCCTGGAATAGACCTTGATTTGATAGGCATGATACGGTGATAATGTGTATTGTTTTCTCTAAGCTTTTGTCATGCAGTTGTGTTAGGACAATATGTTATCACAAAACAAGACAAAAGGCTGCTGTATGACAGGTGTAATGTTTCCTTAATGTTTCTTTGCATGTTCTATACACAACGGGTCGCTGCAGGAGAGATGGGAAAACAATATGCCGTCAGGAAGGATTGTGAAATGTAATGGACACAGGAATGCCTACAACACTTTGAATGCTTTTCCATAGGGGTATATCTTTTCAGGGGTAAATCCCTTAGATAAGACACACATTTTCACAATCATACTATCCATATCTATTGAAGTAGTTATTTATTATGATACATTTTGTACTCATGCTTCTCATTACCTAAAGGACAATAGCCTTAAGAAGCATGACTCAGAATGCAATTAGATTATCCAGTAAAGTTACATTTGTCTGGTACATCTGTAATGTCTTTAAGAATGTACTAAGACACACAAAACATCTCTCCCAGTCCCTGCTCCAAGACACATCTCCCAACAGCATACAAGAAAATCCCCTCCAAAATCCCCAAAGTGCCCTTCAACTTAATTATCTTCATCTGCCTGTTGTTTCTTGTTGAAGTTGTATCCTGATAACAGATGGTGCATCTTAAACAACAACACATTCTTAAACAGAATACAATTGACTACCTTATCTTTCATAGACTTGTCTATAAGACTGAAGCTCTTGGTGGAGGAAGCCTCTGTGGTAGTGAAGTTATAAAGGATGATTAGTCCATGAATTAGCAATGTGTTTTAAGTGTGCAGTTAACAGGATTTAGAGATGGTCTAGTAGCTCGATGTGTTGGGATAGATAGGGGATATAGGGGAGTGATGTCTTTGTTGGAAAGATATCCCAGGCTACTTTAGCCCTCTGAAGGATCAAGAAAACAAAAAAGCCCACACATGACGTTGGCTGAGTCAGCAAAGCTGGGTGGTATTCATTAAGTACCGAATGGAAGAAAACCGACTGAAACAGGGAGGGACTACCTGAAGTTGTCCAATAAGAAACACTGTTTTTAGTTTTACTGTTATTTAACAATTATTTTGCAATGTTCCACAGACAGGGACTTTTTGACCCTTTGTGATTTAAAGGCACAAATATATAACTTTTATTTCCAGTGCTACTCCTGGGTGGTCACTTTTCGGGTGCATAAATGCTCACTCTCTTCACTCTTTCTCCACTCAGCTCTCTTCACGGAGGTCCCTCATGACATCACAACGCATAGTGGTCAGGATGTGGAGATGGCCTGTTCATTCCGGGGGGCGGGGCCCTCCTACTCCCTGGAGATCCAGTGGTGGTACATGAAGAACAACAGAGACTGGCCAGAGAAACCCGCCTGGACCTCCAATCAGGTGAGCTGCTGAGAGGAACGTTTGGTTGGAGGGCGGGACTTGCCTTTTAAGTGGAGAATGTTATTGGCCGTTGGGTGTTTGAGTGACACCTGTGAGTCAATGATCCGAGTTACTGTTCTGTGATTCTGCTTGACATAGAGTAGCAGTGGTTGTGTTAACTTGATGAGCACAATTAATCAATGTAGATCCACCCACTAAATATTAGTAACTGTCAACCCTGGTTTGTCTATTGAAAGGTTACAAATGGAGCCCCGAATCCTTCCTTGAGATACGTGTGTCGGCATGTGTATAACATCCTCCCAACCTGCATTAACCTGACCATGCATTATTCACTTGCATTATGTTCTTGTTTCTTAAAAGAGTAGCCCTTTATCTGATTATAATTATAATTATTAGAATATTTTATTAATTATTAGCTAAGATATTTATTATCTTTTAAATGTATTCTAAATGTACATCAGTCGGGTTTTAGACCAGATCATAGCAGTACCAGATCATAGCACTACCCTCTTTGATTTCACATAGGTTGATACATTGCTATGTTTTAATTCATAAAGCCCTTTTACAAAAAGTCCCACTGTACCTAACATCATTACAACATTTTAGCCATACGAGTTACCACATCCGGTCTCAAGGATAGCTAATTCTGGAAATTCCTTTAGTCTCTACTGAGTTAGGTAAAATCAGCTCTTAGTTTTCTTGCACCTTATTTGTGGAACAGTTTTCAAAATGTTCTTAAATTTGATGTTCTGGTGCCTATAGGGCAATTCAGAAAGCTGATTGAGGACCTTATTACTGATGAATGTGTTAGTTTTTTATGACCATGTTTTTCTTTCTGCTTGCATTTTGTATTTATATTTTGATATGTGTATTTTCTGTCATTTATGTAATTCATGGTCATCTGTAAAATAAACATTGGTCTCAGTATGACTCCCTAATCAAATAAAGGTTAAATTAAATAAATAAATGCAAAAAACATTAATTAAGCCCACATGGACTTTGTTAACACACTATTACCATACAAAGAGATAATGTATATTACTGTGGACAGAACTGAATCGACTGAATCCACATTAGCCTACAATACAGCAGGCAGAGGAAATACATTAGCCACAGCCCTTGGCACTGGAAATAATAGATAATTGCTGATTAGCATTTTACTAGCGCTGTGGGAGGAGGTTGACTTCTCTAACCCCCTGCTGTGGTGCTAGACACTATAATTGGCATTAAGGAAGGAATAGATTTTCCAAATCTCTGTTCGATGCATAATGCATACCTATGCCCATAAGAACATTAACAACTTCATAGTTAAGAACACTATAATAATATTGAATAAAATAAAACTTATTCTACAAGAACCAATATCAATTCCTATAAACACAACCTTATGGAACAATCCTTGGATAGCTTTTCAGAATTCACTGATAAATTGGTCCAAATGGAAAACTAAAGGCAAATAAACCTTAAATGACTTGGTAACAGGAAATACATTTATTTCCATGACAGAATAAAAAAAATATTTGGACTGACCAATGTAGATAGTTTCAAATACATGCAATTTAAAAGTTACATATCACAAAATGTCGATTTCAAATCCTTTGGACATCAGAGCAACCTTGAGGGAATCTTATTTGAGTCAGAAAAGGATGTTCATATGATAGGGAAGATATACTGTACAAAACATTGCAGAGAGCATATACAACTGACAATCTCTCAGAAAAAAAAATAATAATAATTGGAACCAAGACATAAAAATAACTGATGTTGGCACAAGATGGAGGGAAAGTTGGGAGAATAACTAACAAAATTACAGTTAACTAAAATGTACGCTTAATCCAGTATTAGCTAATGTATAGAATTTATTATACAAGAGACAAAATTATACAGCACAACAGCAGAGTCATGTCTTAAGTGTAAAACGAATAATGACTCAATAATCCATGCTTACTGGGAATGCTATGAAGTCCAAAAGTTATGGGTGGAGCTAGAAAGGTGGCTGTCAGAATGTAAACTTATTTTAATCTGTCTGTCTGCATATTTCAAGACATACCCAATGGGCTGGACAATTCTCTTCTCAACACTGATCTTGAAAAAATGTATACTAAAAATGTGGAAATCAATACGCCATCATTAACCCAATGGAAAAATCTAATGGTTTATTATTGAAATATTGAAATAGCATGGGCGACTGAGAAAAACGAATTGGTACAATTTAAGGCCAAGTGCCAAACAATAATGTAGGCACTAGGGATGGGGTTGTGAGCATGCGGGTCTGGGCAGATGATATGTAGCCATTGTTTGTGTGCGTCTGTAAGTTCACATCAATATACACATCAATATTCACATCAATACACTAAAAGCAAAACAAAATCATTGAAAAACAAGTCAAGTCATTTTGATTCTATCTAAATTGATACTGTATGTCACTTGCTAATGTTATTTCAGCCATATGCCTGACTTATTTTAATCAATTCCTTATAGGTGGTGCCAATGGAGATGTCTAAGGATGCCACCAAAATAAGTGTGAGGAGACACATGTACAGTATACAGTACTGCACTGTAAACTAAATTGACTCTTAACTAAACATGATTAACTCATTACTAACTTAATTACCTGTGTTGAAACCCAGGAATATGATTCATATGCATATGACTTACAAATACATTATCTCCTGCCACAGGTGGTGAAAGTGGCCGGGAGCAACATCTCCCACAAGCTCCGCCTCTCCAGCGTCAAGCGGTCAGACGAGGGCATGTACGAGTGCCGCGTCATCGACTTCAGCGGCAGCGTGGCACAGCACCACCACATCCGGGCCTACCTCCAGGTGGAAGCCGAGAGAAGGCTGGGCCACGGGTCAGCAGACTCCCAGCCCAAGGAGCCCCGACAGAAGGGACAGGGGAGCCAGGTGCACCCCCACCAAACAGAGGGCCGGGAACTGAAGAGGCGATCGGCCGATGACAGCACCACGGACTGCACTGAGAGCTGTGTGCTCTAGAGTCTGGTTCAGATAGGAAGAACAGGAGTGCATGTTCCCAGTTATCTTAAGAAGGATGATTATTTATACACCTGGAGAGGCCTGGACAAAAACTGCGTAATTTATATGTTCATTTATGAATCGATTTGTTTAGTTGTTTGTTTATCTGAGAGTTGTTTATGCTTGTTTGAATTTGGATTGTCACAGACCACCAGAGGGCATGATCGTGTTGTCTTGGTTCTTAATGTAATGATATTTCTCATCACCTTCGTTAAATGCTTTGTCCATGATTTCTGACTCTGGGGTTGTGATGGTTGAAGATGAGGGTGTCGTTGGGTGGAAAGGATGCAGGGAAGGCCTGTATCTCAATAGTCTGAAGTAGCTTCTTTCCTTTGTATCCTTTCCTTAATAAACACTGATCTGAAATGAATGGAAAGGACACAGCAATATGTACTGAACAAAAATATAAACGCAACATGCAACAATGTCAAAGATTTTATTGAGTTACAGTTCCAAGAAGGAAATCAGTCATTTGAAATAAATTAATTATGCCTTAATCTATGGATTTCACATGACTGGTCAGGGGCACAGCCATGGGTGGGCCTAGGAGGGCATAGGCCCACCCACTTGGGAGCCAGGTCCACCCACTGGTGATTCAGGCCCAGCCAATTAGAATTCGTTTTTCCCCACAAAAGGGCTTTATTACAGACAGAAATACTCCTGAGCACCCCCCTCCTCAGACGATCCCGCAGGTGAAATAGCCAGATGTGGAGGTCCTGGGATGTCATGTTTACACGTGGGCTGCGGTTTTGAGGCCAGTTGGATGTACTGCTAAATTCTCTAAAACGATGTTGGAGGCGGCTTATGGTAGAGAAATTAACATTCAATTCTCTGGCAACAGCTCTGTTGGACATTCCTGCAGTGACCAAGCCAATTGCACGCAAAAACTTGAGACATCTGTGGCATTGTGTTGTGTGACAAAACTACACATTCTAGAGTGGCCTTTTATTGTCCCCAGCACAAGGTGCACCTGTGTAATGATCATGCTGTTTAATCAGCTTCTTGATATACCACACCTGTCAGGTGGATGGATTCCTGCTCTTGGCAAAGGAGAAATGCTCTCTAACAGTGATTGAAACAAATTTGTGCACAACATTTGAGAGAAATAAGCTTTATGTGCATATGAAATATTTCTGGCCTTTTTTATTTCAGCTCATGAGAAATGGGACCAAAACTTTACATGTTATGTTTACATTTTTGTTCAGTATAGTAGGAACCAATCCAGGTATTTCTATATCTGAAGTTATGAAGTAAAGGAGACAATTAGAGGAAGTGATTCAGGAGTATTTAGACCCCATGGTTCATCAAAAGAGAGGTTTTGCTGTCTGTGACATACACTTTGAAATGCCTTGTTTCTTAATGGTCTTTAATGGCAACATATTCCAAAAAAAGCTGCAGTACTTACATGTAAACCACATTTTAATTTATCAAGCTCTGTGAAAGGACTTTGGAGGTTGTTCTTCGGTTTGTACTGACATTTTGCTTTGATGTTTTGTAAAAAAAAATATATATATATACTCTACCGTTCAAAAGTTTGGGGTCACTTAGAAATGTCCTTGTTTTCGAAAGAAAAGCTATTTTGTTGTCCATTAAAATAACATCAAATTGATCAGAAATACAGTGAAGATATTGTTAATGTTGTAAATGGCTATTGTAGATAGAAACGGCTGATTTTTAATGGAATATCTACGTAGGCATACAGAGGCCCATTATCAGCAACCAGTGTTCCAATGGCACGTTGTGTTTGCTAATCTAAGTTTATCATTTTAAAATCCTAATTTATCATTAGAAAACCCTTTTGAGATTATGTTAGCACAGCTGAAAACTGTTATGCTGATTAAAGAAGCAATACAACTGGCCTTCTTGAGACTAGTTGAGTATCTGTAGCATCAGCAATTGTGGATTCGATTACATGATCAAAATGACCAGAAACAAATAACTTTCTTCTGAAACTCATCAGTCTATTCTTGTTCTGAGAAATGAAGGCTATTCCATGCGAGAAATTGCTAAGAAACTGAAGATCTCATACAACGCTGTGTACTACTCCCTTCACAGAACAGCGCAGAGTGTGAGGCCCTGGTGCACAACTGAGCAAGAGGACAAATACATTAGAGTGTCTAGTTTGAGAAACAGACGCCTCATAGGTCCTCATCTGGCTTCATTAAATAGTACCCATAAAACACCAGTATCAACGTCAACAGTGAAGAGGTGACTCCAGGATGCTGACCTTCTAGGTAGAGTTGCAAAGAAAAAGCCATATCTCAGACTGGCCAATAAAAATAAAAGATTAAGAAAGAACACAGACACTGGACAGAGGAAGATTGGGAAAAAGTGTTATGGAAATCAAATCAAATCAAATTGTATTGGTCACATGCGCCGAATACAACAGGTGCAGACATTACAGTGAAATGCTTACTTACAGCCCTTAACCAACAGTGCATTTATTTTAAACAAAAAAGTAAGAATAAAACAACAACAAAAAAGTGTTGAGAAAAAAAGAGCAGAAGTAAAATAAAGTGACAGTAGGGAGGCTATATATACAGTAAAATAAAGTGACAGTAGGGAGGCTATATATACAGGGGGGTACCGTTGCATAGTCAATGTGCGGGGGCACCGGCTAGTTGAGGTAGTTGAGGTAATATGTACATGTGGGTAGAGTTAAAGTGACTATGCATAAATACTTAACAGAGTAGCAGCAGCGTAAAAAGGATGGGGTGGGGGGGGCAGTGCAAATAGTCCGGGTAGCCATGATTAGCTGTTCAGGAGTCTTATGGCTTGGGGGTAGAAGCTGTTGAGAAGTCTTTTGGACCTAGACTTGGCACTCCGGTACCGCTTGCCGTGCGGTAGCAGAGAGAACAGTCTATGACTAGGGTGGCTGGAGTCTTTGACAATTTTGAGGGCCTTCCTCTGACACCGCCTGGTATAGAGGTCCTGGATGGCAGGGAGCTTTGCCCCAGTGATGTACTGGGCCGTACGCACTACCCTCTGTAGTGCCTTGCGGTCAGAGGCCAAGCAGTTGCCATACCAGGCGGTGATGCAACCAGTCAGGATGCTCTCGATGGTGCAGCTGTAGAATTTTTTGAGGATCTGAGGACCCATGCCAAATCTTTTTAGTCTCCTGAGGGGGAATAGGCTTTGTCGTGCCCTCTTCACGACTGTCTTGGTGTGTTTGGACCATGATAGATCGTTGGTGATGTGGACACCAAGGAACTTGAAGCTCTCAACCTGTTCCACTACAGCCCCGTCGATGAGAATGGGGGCGTGCTCAGTCCTCTTTTTTTTTCCTGTAGTCCACAATCATCTCCTTTGTCTTGGTCACGTTGAGGGAGAGGTTGTTGTCCTGGCACCACACGGCCAGATCTCTGACCTCCTCCCTATAGGCTGTCTCATCGTTGTCGGTGATCAGGCCTACCACTGTTGTGTCGTCGGCAAACTTAATGATGGTGTTGGAGTCGTGCCTGGCCATGCAGTCATGGGTGAACAGAGAGCACAGGAGGGGACTGAGCACGCACCCCTGAGGGGCCCCCGTGTTGAGGATCAGTGTGGCAGATGTGTTGTTACCTACCCTTACCACCTGGGGGCGGCCCGTCAGGAAGTCCAGGATCCAGTTGCAGAGGGAGGTGTTTAGTCCCAGGATCCTTAGCTTAGTGATGAGCTTAGAGGGCACTATGGTGTTGAATGCTGAGCTGTAGTCAATGAATAGCATTCTCACGTAGGTGTTCCTCTTGTCCAGGTGGGAAAGGGCAGTGTGGAGTGCGATAGAGATTGCATCATCTGTGGATCTGTTGGGGCGGTATGCAAATTGGAGTGGGTCTAGGGTTTCTGGGATTATGCTGTTGATGTGAGCCATGACCAGTCTTTCAAAGCACTTCATGGCTACAGACGTCAGTGCTACGGGTCGGTAGTCATTTAGGCAGGTCATCTTAGAGTTCTTGGGCACGGGGACTATGGTGGTCTGCTTGAAACATGTTGGTATTACAGACTCAGTCAGGGACATGTTGAAAATGTCAGTGAAGACACTTGCCAGTTGGTCAGCACATGCTCGGAGTACACGTCCTGGTAATCCGTCTGGCCCTGCGGCCTTGTGAATGTTGACCTGCTTAAAAGTCTTACTCACATCGGCTACGGAGAGCGTGATCACATAGTCGTCCGGAACAGCTGGTGCTCTCGTGCATGCTTCAGTGTTGCTTGCCTCGAAGCGAGCATAGAAGTGGTTTAGCTCGTCTGGTAGGCTTGTGTCACTGGGCAGCTCGCGGCTGTGCTTCCCTTTGTAGTCTGTAATAGTTTTCAAGCCCTGCCACATCCGACGAGCGTCAGAGCCAGTGTAGTATGATTCAATCTTAGACCTGTATTGACTCTTTGCCTGTTTGATGGTTCGTCGGAGGTCATAGCGGGATTTCTTATAAGCGTCCGGGTTAGAGTCCCGTTCCTTGAAAGCGGCAGCTCTACCCTTTAGCTCAGTGCGGATGTTTCCTGTAATCCATGGCTTCTGGTTGGGGTATGTACGTACGGTCACTGTGGGGACGACATCATCGATGCACTTATTGATGAAGCCAGTGACTGATGTGGTGTACTCCTCAATGCTGTCTGAAGAATCCCGGAACATGTTCCAGTCTGTGCTAGCAAAACAGTCCTGTAGCTTAGCATCTGCGTCATCTGACCACTTTTTTATTAGCCGAATCACTGGTGCTTCCTGCTTCAGTTTTTGCTTATAAGCAGGAATCAGGAGGATAGAGTTATGGTCAGATTTGCCAAATGGAGGGCGAGGGAGAGCTTTGTATGCGTCTTTGTGTGTGGAGTAAAGGTGGTCTAGAGTTTTTTTCCCCTCTGGTTGCACATTTAACATGCTGGTAGAAATGAGGTAGAACGGATTTAAGTTTCCCTGCATTAAAGTCCCCGGCTACTAGGAGCGCTGCATCTGGATGAGCGTTTTCCTGTTGATTAATGGCCTTGTACAACTC